CAATATTTAGTTTGTTTATTGAATGATTATCGTGGTGTAAGAAAACAAGGCCAATAGACATCTATAAATATCTACACTTATATAATATTATTATTTATAGCATATTGTATTATATATTATATAATAAATAAAATATACAACACAAAGAACATTATCATGAAAAAAAAATTAGGATGTCTACAATATTATCTTAAAAAAAATCTTAAAAATAAAAAAAAATGAAAATATAAGTTTTCAATTGAAAAATTGAGTTTTTAATCGCAAATAACCCAAAAAGTATTGGTTTATCAAAAAAATTGTATGCAACAATTTTTGCTTGAAATTAGTTGCTTTATCGATTCCCGGAGTTATTTTAACAAAATTTATTTTCAACCCCTACAAAGGGGTAGAAACCACCCTCAGGGTAAAAATATATATCAGCATAGGGTGTATTTTATTTTTTGAGCTATTCCCTACCTACTATCAAAATTTCAAGCAAATCGATGCATAACAGCGGAAATCACAGCTAAAAACATCATAAACTGAAATATCCGTAAATTTAAGGGTTCTCAATTTTTTTTAGCTGAATTTAAACAATGGATTCTTATTCCTCATCTCAAACACTATAAAAAAAATGTTTTGTATAATTTGAAAAAAAAATAATTTCAAACGAGAGAGAAAAAATGTAAATTTTTTCCCAAAATTATAATTTTGGGGTTCAATTTTGAGGGTGTAAATGGGGTTTTGGTGAAATGTGATTATTTTTCCCTTAATCTGTTCTACTTAAGCTTTAAAACGATATTTTTTTATATCTTTTTTCCACGAGGCGCTACTTAATTTTGTCCATACCTAAGTCCAAATGAATTATAGTGCGCCGTTGCCATATTAAAATTAAGGCAGGCAAACTTCTAACATCCCGTATAAAGAGGGCAACATTATGAACAAAACAGACTTCATTGTTTTGTTAAAGAAATGACTTAGGTGTCAACTGAGAAGGAAATGAAATAGAAATTGGCCTTCGCATGGAAATAAAACTGGCGTATATACGGACAAGCCTCATTGTCCATGGAAGTATAACCATCTTACACAATTCCAAACAGAAAATCTATATAAGTCCTCACAAAACGTGTTTTATTGTACTCGGCGGCATTGTACATTGTATATAAATGGGACATCATCAATTCAATATCCCAGGAACGTATTCAAATTAAACTAGGGCGCTGCCTGGTTGTGACATTTCCAGTAATAGATTTACGTCAAGTCCGCTATTAATGGAAATTATGTTGTACGTCGCCAATAAACATTTGAATGTTAGACAAAGGCGGCTGCAACACGTCGCTGAAAGAACAGTGGACTGTGCACTGCAGCGGAGTGGTTTAATATGTCCGGTAAATCCCAGCATCAATCCGGTACCAGCGATTGAGTGTTTTCCATTTGTAATGAACAAAAAATATTGTTGCAAAGGTTTGGAGAAATTATCTCCTATTCCCGCTTCTAATGGCTGTAACATCACTTTGGACAAAGATCGACACGAAATTCAACCACTAATTACACATTTTAAGGATCCCATATAACACATCTCCATAAAAAAGAAAGTTTTGTGCAAAAGACCATAATACAATATTTCTATGTATTTTTGAGCCGCTGAATACGAATCCAAAGTCAGATGTGGCCCGTAAGTTCACAAATCCTTCCTAACCTTAAAAAAGCTTAAATATCCACAAAATTCATAAATTAGCTTCCATGATCCAGGCCTGATTTAACAGCGACAATTTCCTAACCGGAAAAAATAGCTTCAAGTCGCTAATATTCTCAAATTTTAGAATGATAAGGATTACAGACATCCACAAAAAAAGAAAAGTGATCTGTTTAAAAATCTAGATCCTTATGTATCTTCTACCATTATGTATTTTGACCACTGGCTAGGGCTATATCGCCCTCCCCCCTCCCACCAGTTTTTAAATCACCAAAAGACCAATCTTAAATACAGAAAATCACACTCCAAGGGGGTATAGCATTTGGAACAATTGTAAAAAGAGAATGGAAGTTACTGCAGGAAAATGTCTATATGTATTTTAACGTATTGAATGGGATATTCTTTTTCTTTTCTGGAGTTTTTGGCTAGTTTTTCCCTTTTAGTCATCCAACAGATTAACATCCATTTCAAGTGTCAGCAAAGCTTCGAACAAATTCGGCAAAGTTTCGAGTTTCAGATGCCGATGAATAAATAACACCTTATAGAACAAAAAGTTTTGCTCTCTTGATTTTCGGTTTTAGCGTCATTATTGTATATACAGGGTGTTTCTAAACTATGGTGCCAAATGAATATGACAGATAGAAAATGTCATTTTGAGCAAAAAGTTTCATGTAAACATAGGTCCGAAAATGCATAATAAAAAAGTTACAGGGTGATAAAGGTACAGTTTGAGAAACAATTTTTCGCAATAACTTCTACAAAACTTAGGCAATTTAAATGAATCTTGGTGCAGTTTCTTAGACACTAAAATGCAACAATTTCGTGCAAAAACAATTTATTCCCATCGCCCAGGAGCGGAGAGCCGGGGTAGCACATAGGATTTTATTATGAAAAAAAAATTGTCCTTTGCATTTTCGGAAAATTGATCAAATTTTCTGAAAAATAAACTAATATGTCACAAAAAAGGTACTCTTGTTCAATGTCGCCAACATGAACCGTTCTCTTTAAAATTTGCAAAATTTATTGTCGTGCACCCGACAACAAGAATGCTGTAATCAAGAAGGCTATGCTTTATGTGGTAACTGGGTATGGATTTGGTTTGTAAATTTGTTATAACAAATAACATTTATTTTTAAATTACAACATAACAAAACTACTTACTACAAAAAAAAGTTATTTAAGCATATGTTGAAAGTGATCACCGTTAGCTCTAATACATGCTCTAACTCTTTTTAAGAAATGAAAGGGGAGCTTATTCAAAACTTCTTCATTCGTCTTTATTTCATTGAAAGTGTCCGTTATTCTTTGCCTTAAATGATCCTCGTCTTCTATTGGAATTTCATACACTTTAGATTTTGCGTATCCCCAAACAAAAAAATCTAAAGGAGTTAGATCTGGGCTTCTTGGTGGCCATGGCTGAGGAGCATCCCATCCACGACCAATCCATCTATTTGCAAAAATATTATTTAAATGTCGCCTTACTTGTCGAGAGTAGTGAGGAGGGGCCCCGTCTTGCATTAGCCACATATTTCTTCTGGTTTCCAAATCAAGGTCTTCCAAAACTTCAACAAAGTCGTTGTTCAAAAAATGTAAGTAATTTTCCCCATTCACATTTAGAGGAAGTTCAATTGGACCCAAAAGTTTATTGCCAATTATTCCCGCCCATAAATTGATTTTAATTTTGTATTGTGAATGTCGCACAACTGTTGCATTTGGATTTTCATCATTCCAGTGATGACTATTTCTTAAATTGAAAATGCCATTTTTTGTGAAACAACACTCATCAGTAAACAAAATACGTTTGGCGAACATCGCATCAACACGAACCTTTTCTGACATCCAGTTGCAAAATTGTAGTCGTTTTGGCAAATCTTCAGCAAGCAATTCTTGTACTTTAGTCATATGATATGGATGCAGTTGTTGTTCCCTAGCAATCCTCCATACCAAGGAATGTGGCATATTTTCGGCGAAAGCAATTCTTCTGGTGCTTAAAGTATCATCTTCTTCAAAACGTTGGAGAACACGCTCTTCAGCCCCTGGAGTTCGGATCGTTCTGGGACGGCCAGTGTCATAATGACTTTTTTTAAAAGTACCTGTTTCTCTAAGGCGCCGGTCGATGGACATAAACAATTTTCGAGAAGGTATTCTCCTATTTGGATAGGTTTGTTCATATAATCTACTTGCCATTCTTGTATTACAGTCACATTTTCCGTAAATTAAATGCATATCTGCAAGTTCTCCAAAGGTGTATTGTTCTGCCATAACAACTTTTAATGAGTAACGCCAGCTAAATTTTATGCTATCAAAACTTACAATTAACTTTTGACAGGAAAACTGAAAGGTTATTTTAAATTTCATGGCTACTATGATGACGAACTTCCATTGCTACCTCTATCTTGTCGGGTGCACGACAATAAATTTTGCAAATTTTAAAGAGAACG